AACTGTTCAGCTGCTGTTTGATGCAGTCATACATTTAGGATGCAAGCCATACCTGGACAGCCAGAGAGCTGCTTGCATGTGTCATTACGAGGACAAGACAGATCTCTGAGAGAAGACACCGAGATCTCGTGGTGTACAATAAAGCTGAACATCCAGCCTAAAGGAAGCAAGGCTTTGGTTACAAACCTTTAGGCTTTTCAGACAGTGATACATTAAACACTGACACGAATTCACTGATTTGAAGATCACTATGATATTCTCATTCATGTAAAAAAGAAACAAGTCGTCCTTCTCTCCATTTTATGCCAGAAGCTTGGGAACTGAAATTGCTTTCCTTTGGTGTATGTTCACCTGTATGTGCTGTTGTAAAATGCTGGTGCCATTTTAATGTTCCCAAGAAGACTCCATAGTGGGGACATCGGAGGCACCAAGGAGTTATATTGAATTCTCAGGTGATTTTTAATACAGGTCAAATTTTAGGTTTACTAGCAGCTGAAGCATCTGATGGGTTCAGCAGGAGAGTGTGTGTACCAGTATGAGACATCTTTCATAGCCTGTACCTGGTGTTTCTGCTGCAGTTGCCTTGAGTTCTCTCTCATGCGTGTGGTCCTGCAGGTTTGTTGTTAAAAAACCAGGAAAATGCCCAAGCCAGTGTACATGCACTACATATTTCTACCTGATTCTGTATCAATGCCTTACTTCTGCAGCACTTTTCAGATCAAATACGTTGATCCTTTTAAGGGCTGTCCAGTCAAAAGAACGGTTTGCAGCCTAAGGATATACTTTTGATTTGACAGAATGGTGAAATGTAGTTTCTATGTTATTTTTTAAAAATTCATCAAATGTCTGTTTTTGAATAAAACATTTTGTGTTGTGTATTATATGCACGGAAAGGATGTATGTACAAATATGTTGATTTATATTTCTGTTGTGGCACAACTTGGCTACTGTATTCATCTTTGCTTTCATTTAGTCTGTACTGATGAAAACTAAAAGCAAGTTCCACAGTTAAGATCAGAGTGCCCAAAAAAAATTATTTAAGATGCCCTCTGTGAGGCTGATGGATATATGAGCTTGTACTTCTGTCACTTGTTCCCTCTCTGACTTCTCCAAGTAAAATCACCTGATGCCTGAATTATTTGGGGTTTGCTCTCTGTACTTGTTGCTTACCTACAGGTGTCAGTCCTTAGTTAACTTCTGCATTAGGTCCTCTGTTAGAAAGATAATGATTTGCTTTCATTAAAAAGCAATTTGCTTTAAATATTCACAGGAGAGGAATGAAAATTACAACATTGCATCTGTGAACAGGCAATAGAAATTAAATGCATAAAATTCACTGGACTCATAGACTATAATGTGATATAATTTTGTGTGGTTTCTTTTTTACCTGTTGTGTTTTTGGTTTGTTTCTCACTAGAGCTTAGTGTACATGACAGTGAATGTAAGGGCTTCATAAAAAAAAAGTTTCTGTTAAAGTTCTTTGGTTGTGCCTCAAGGTTTCTTTTCTTATTTGTGGATATGAAATAGCACTAAAAGAGAAGCATTACTGTAGAGCTTTATGAAACTTTGCTAGATGAACTTGTACTTCCCCTAACTTCGGTGACATTTATTTTCTACCATAGAATTGAAACAATTCTGCATTACCCTGGAATTCCATGGTTGTAACCCTAAAAATCTTTTTTACATTAAAGCAGGGAATGTTAATGGCGTTGTTTGTTTAAAATGACAAAAGTACCACAATGCATCCAAACCACTAATTCAGCTAGATGGCTTGCTGAGTTCTGTACAAATGGGCTCAAACTAGGTGCTTAAATTAATGCATATCCTGGGTTTGGAAGGGATAGAGATAATTTTCTTCACAGTAACTGATGCAGTGCTGTTTTGGTTGTAGTGTGAGAATAATGGTGGTAACTGATGATTTAGTTGTTGCTGAGCAGTGCTTACCTTAAATCCAGTAAATCTCAGTTTACCATACTCCACCAGTGAGGAGGTGCAGAAGAAGCTGGAAGGAAGCATGGCCAGGACAGCTGACCCAAACTGCCCAAAGGAATATTTCACACCATAGAGCATCATGCCTAGTATATAAAAAGGGGGGAGTTTATGTCCTGATCAGCCTGAAGCCACCAACCGCTGCTTGGGGACTGGACAGGGGGTGGTGAGCAACTGCATTGTGTGTCAATTGTCTGTCTTGGGGTCTATTAATATCTCTCTTTAGCCTTTTAATTTTTATTATTTTTATTTCTTTATTTCAGTTACTGAAGTGTTCTGACCTAAACCCGTGAGTTTTTCTGATTCTCCTTCTCCCCATCCCGTGTGTGTGTGTGTGCCTGTGTGTGTACACATATATACTTAGTCACTGGCTAGGGTTAAACCACAACAACATGGAAGGTTTTCACTGTTGGAAAGAGCTGGGTTTTGTTCCCTCCTCTACTGACCTGTAATTATACCATGAAAGCCTCCCGGAGTTTCTTTGAAACCATGTAAAACACTAAAAGAGCTTTAATACTGCTGGATAGCACTCTGATAGTTCTGCTTGCAAACCACAGGAGGCGTTTCACTTCTTCCAGGTAGTCTTTACTTTGCACAAGCTTTTCCTGTTGCAGAAATCCTTGATTAGAGTTGCCTGCAAGTTATACAAAATGCATTTTGCAGAAGACCGTAGCCCTAAGATGAAGGCTAGCTATCACTCCTGGGATCAACCATACCATTTAAGAACTTACATATTTATAAATATATGCAAAAATGTAATGCTTGTCCTGGTTGTCACAGTTATAGTTAATGTTCTCCTTAGCTGTTGATACAATGCTGTGTTTTGGTTTGAGGATGAGAGTAATGATAAAACACAGCTTCTCCTGCTGCTCTGCCAGAGAGGAGGCTGATGTACACAAGGATTTGGGAGCAGACACAGCCAGGTCAGCAGACCCCAGCTGACCCAAGGGATATCCCACACCATATGGAATCCTGCTGAACAATAAGACTGGGGGCAGTTGGCCAGGGAAGGACACTGATCACTCCTTGGGGACTCGCTGTGCATCGATCACTGGGCGGTGAGCAACTGTACTGTGTGTCACTCATCTTGTGTATCCTTTTATTATTATTTTCTCCTCCTTTTCTGTCCTGTTAGACTGTCTTTACCTTTTTTCTGATTTTCTCCCTCATCCCACTGGGGGGAGTGAGTGAACAGCTCCATGCTAGATTAAAGCATAACACTGTAGATAGCTGCTCATTTAACTCAATACTGCATATTTTTGTGTGGTCAGTAATACTGTACAGCAGTGTGTCCACAATCAAATTTCCTTCTTCAGACTGTAGTTCTGATCCATCCATAATACTTTTTCAAAAAAATACCCAGCTACAATCTGAAAGTGTTTCTAAACCTATGGGAACGTCTCACAATAAAACTCCCATGAATTACAATGAGCTGGAAATGCACACCAGCCCAGCGCTGCCTCGGGCTGCACACTGCGATCAAGTTACCCCTGACTCAACAGTGCTGAGCCTGCTCTGAGCCTCCAGCAAAACAGAGCAGAAAAAAACCTCTGTCTTACAAGGATCTAAGCAAACTGTTGGGCTGAGGAACACGGCCGACAGAGTCCTGGATTTTGGTTCTGCAGCTGCAGAACTTCACACGGCAGTCTGGCTGCTTGTGGGTTCAGGGGCAGCTCTAGCAGGAGCTGTGAGAGCTGGGATCTGCAGTTGCCAAAAAATGAATCTGTTTGGTAGGAGTCTAAATGTTACCCAGTGTAAGATGCAAACTTTGTGATAGTGTCATGTTCTAACTAAAGATTGCACGAAGACAATTGAAACAAAGTTCTATCTTGTTCCAGCTGCCTACTGGCAGTGTGAGGGTAACAAGTCTGAACAAGACAAAAACGAGCAAAGGCAATTAAAAATACCCCATGGCTCCTTTAATCAAAGGGAGACATCTTGTCTAAAATCTTTACCCATGCAAGAAGGCTGAGTAAAACCAGACTGGGTAAAAATGCCTATAATTCCACTCTAAATCTGTTTCCTTTTGTGCTTGTAGCAGCACTCTCTTAAGTGTACATTCATATCTGAGTTTATCTCCCCAGAAGTAGGCTGGATAAAAAATTCAGATCCCTCTAGGGTACAATCTGTAAAGCTCTTATACAGAAGAATGAGGTTTTGTCATTTGCTTTGGTTTAGAAACTTGTTTGTTATGCAATTAATCAGTGACCGGCAAGTGCCGCATAATTCCCGGCTGGGGAATACTCCTTAAGACACAAGGGCACTCTCGTCAATACCTTGTCACTCTCCACACAGTTCCGAAATCATCAAAGAGAACTGAAACGAGAACAGAGCGAAGCTGCAGAATGATCCACACATCCAAACTTCTCAAAGGTTGTGTGTGGGTGCCCGAAACGCACTTTGAGGAACAGGAGCCGTACAGGAAAGAAAACACTATGGGCCTGAAATGGGAATTTGAGTACAGTTTTGAAAAATTTAAACCAAGTGAATACGCGAGGCTCTCGCCACATTTCAGGACGATGGTTTTGTACAAGCCGGCGCAGTTACTCGCCCACGATCTCTGAAGTATCCCCCAGGAAGCACACGGCGCACTTCAGCACCCAGCCCTGCGCTTCCCGGATCGTCCCTCGCCCCGTCCCTGGCGGAGGCGCCGCCGCGGAAACAAAGGGCGAGGGGGCGGGCCGAGCGGGGGAAAGCGCGGAAGACGAGGAGAGGGGAAGGCTTGGCGGGGCTGCGTGTGTGTCGCTGTGCAGCCTCGGTCCACGGCGATGTCGGGCTCGGAGCGGCGGCCGCCGGCGGGTGCGTGTGCGGCGGGGACGCGGTGGGAAGGGCCGGGAAGGGCCGGGACGCGGGCCTGGTGGGGTTCCTGCCGGAGCCAGCGCGGAGCGGGAGCGGGATGGGGAATGTCTGCCCCAGGGAGAGGCCGGGGCCAGCTGGGCTGCCCAGCCGGAGCGCTGGGAGCGCTGCCCGGAGGGGAGCTCACGGGGAGCGGGAGCTTTGCTTCTGTCCTTCTTTCTGTGAAAAACACGTTCACTCTCCTGTGAAAATTTAAAAAGTTTAATAGGAGACAAGACCATAGAGTAAAGGCTGTTACGGCCGGGTGCATATTGGCCCTCAGGCAAGACTACACTTATCTTCAGGGATACCCCTTAAATCAGCCACTACATCTATTGCATCAGCCTGTTGTGTATTCATAAACAATTATGCATAGTAAACTTTTTCCCCAAACTAATTTACGGATTCTAAGAACTGTTTAGTTTGGGTCTACCTTTTCAGAGAATGCGGATTCCTTGGGTGTGGTTTTAGTCCATTCTTAACACCTCCAGTTTTTGGGCCCTGGTCCACACTGTCTTCAGATGGTGAGTGCTGATAGTTGGCACATCTGTAGCAGGTGTCTTATTCCTGTGTTCAGCTGATCTTATCCCATCCAAGCAGGCATTTTAACACAAGCATACTTATATCAGCTATTTCACTAAGCTTAATTAACAACAGAAATTAAAATTATAACTTTATAACAAAGTTACTTTAACATTACACGTCTAAAACCCATTTAATATTTGCAAAAAGCCAATGTTATAATATGTATCTATAACATTTCCTTCCTTCTGGAGGAGGAGGGGAACGGGGAAGGTGCGAGGCAAAGGACGGCCAAGGAGGAAATGGATTTGCAGTAAATCCAGGGCCCGCCGCGCAGGGGAAAACCCCTCCGGCTCCCGGCACGGCCGCGGGACAGGGAAGCGGGGAAGGTCCCCGGCCTGTAACTGGAGAAGTCAGGGCAGAAAAACTTGAGCTGGGTTCCCGGAGATGCAGCTAGACTTAAAGGGACTTATTTTGTGTGCCCCTCGTTGTTTTTACGTGCCTTGCCCTTTGGTGTTGATGGCAGAGCTGTTGAGATGGAAACGCATCCAGGGATAGATGCTGTGAGATTCCAGTGTTCCCTAGCCCATACCTGATTTTTGATTGCTTTGAAGCAATCCATCTTCACAAAATTAAAGACAACTAGTCCCGTTGGTCTCAACCAGATTTTAGAACAAGCTTGTTCCTGTGTAAGACAGAAAACTTTTCATAAATCATAATTCAAATAGCATATTTGTGAATGAAGCTGCAATATGAGAGCAACGATGAAAAACCAAAGACTAGGAAGTTACTAAACAGGATTAAATTAACAGGAAAACCATCTTTCCTAGTTTCCTGTCACCCAGGAATTCTAGTCCTCCTGTGTCTACATTTTCTGTCTTAAACTTCAATGACTATAAAATTTTATTATCTGTTTCAGGGGGAGTGGATCTCAAGAACTTTTGTCCTCTATCAATACATAGCTACATTAGTTTTGCAAAAAGCATTAATAACATTTGAAAAAGAGATGTGAAAAGCTAGTATTGTATGTGCAAAGTAGTTTGCAAAATACATGTACATGTGACTCTTCTTATAATTGCAGGCCATGTCCAGCTGGATAGCAGACCTATATTACCCACCACAGGTACAGTGTCCTATACAGTTCAATTAATGTGGTAGTTAGTCTCTACCAGTAGTAGTAGTGATTTAATAGCCCACTGAGATGCTTAAGTAAGAGCAACAAGGATTGTAGCCTAACCATGTGCAAGTCTGTAGTTCTGCACACTGCCAAGATGTGCAGGTTCCTTGTTGTTCCCACATTGCTACTTTTATGTCCATTCTGTATTCGAGGTACTTAGTCTGTAGAGTTCAGCAGAAGAGGTTTCAATCTTGCATCTTCTCAGTTGTCAACAGCTGTTACACTGTCTACTGTGACTACTGACTACTGTGACTGTCTACTGTGTGCTGCATCCAACCCCAAAGAGCATGCTCAGCTTTGTATTAGCAGCATTACTGAAAGAAAAGAAACACCAATGTATTTTTAAGTTATGTAAAATTTTTGCTGTTGAGTTAGTCTCGTTTAAAAATACACTGAGCTAGTTAGTTATATAAAATCATAATCTCTGAATATGTTTATATAGGTACAGGCAGATAGAACATATTCATGTCTTGACCACCTGAAATCCAGACTGCTGGAGTCAGAACTTCCAGAACAACCTCCAAAAGCTGTGGGTGCAGACAAAAACTAATGAGGCTGTTTACCTGCATGCCTACTTACCTGATGTGTGAATGAGCTTTTAATTCACATTAACAGCTAAACTTTAAGGCTGGATGCATAAGTTCAAATTGGTTTTGCTTGTTTGTAATGAATGAATTTGTGTGTAAATAACTTTTTGATTTCTCTAACAGATGGAAATGAGAACATCACAGAAGTAGATGCACTCAATATAAGGTAAAGTTCTGGTGGCAGTGACAGAGATGTCCAAAGGGACTGAGGTCAGTGCAGGGTTTTCTGATTTTTGTTAAGAATTGGATATAATTATTTGATTCAACTCCACCCACTTACAAAACATGTTTGTAGTTTTAGCTACACCAGCTGCAGATGTGAAGGCATGTGGAAGGGACTAAGAGGAGTGTTCTCTTTTTATTGTAGGCAGTGTACAAAGACCATCACAATCTAAGGAGCCACTGGACAGACTAAGTGTTAGGTTGTAGCACAGGAATGTATTCCTCTGGAAGGAGGGGAAACGGACCATGGAACAGTGATTCCATGAAAGTCCTGAAAACAGTAAACTACCTGCCTGATAACTTTGCCTCATCCACACACCTGAGTAGAGAAAGAACTATTTAGGGAATCATCCTTCAATGGTCATTCACAGGATCCAGAGACCAAACTGTCCAAAATCCCCACTAGCCATGCACCTAGCCAAATCCTAAGGAAGAGAAATTACCAAAATCTGAAAAAATTCTGGTACAGGTGAAATTGTTCATAATTGTAAGGCTAAAATTTATAATCTTTGCATTTTATCATGTTTGGTACTCAGAATGGGAAGAATGTGATAAAGCACCCAATCACCCAATCTCTTATTGGTTATCCAGCCAACATTGTTAAATCTCCCTGACTTGGAACAGTCACCCTAAATTCCTGTTCTCTGTCTGAATTCTTATGTATATGTTACAAAAACATGTTTCATTACGGGGATTCTCATAACAAAGTGGAGAAGCAGAGATAGTCTTTGGGTAACAATGGTAATTTTGCTGTGAAACAAAAACATTTGCCGATGAAACTCTGATCTTCAACATCTGCAGGCAAATATTCTAAGCCACTTTCTCCTGTAATTGCACCAAACCTGAATATTCTGTAGCATGAAAGAAAGTATTAACATGGCAAAAATGGCAGCTCTGACCAGAGCCAGTCCTAGGGTAGCATAACCTGGACTATCATTCCGTGTACCTCGAACTCTGGACCTGTCTGTTGCCAGAAGTGTTTCAGTTTCTGTTTTCTGCACCAATAACTACAAAAGCAGAAAGACTGTCTGCTTGTCTTTCTAATTACAGCCATGTCAACACTTAGGGTCTTTTGGGTCCACAGCCAAGTCCAGAGTATGCTGTCACACATCCTATGCTGTGTTTTGCTCATAAACCAATACAATTGCAGAATGCTACTCCCAAACACGCAGGTATTCTATGTGTTTGCTGCCAAGATAAAGTCTTCTGCTTAGAAGCTGGGTTGGTCATTTATTCCTTAAGACCTCTGTCCTTCAACTTCAGGATTTTGTGGGCTGGTTGCTAAAAACTTAGATGAACTTGTCAACTTAAAACTTGTCAAATTAAATTGTCATAGCTTTAATTTCATTAGGGTATGTAACAACCACTTGTTCTCCTTTTGCAAGATACACTACACTTAGCACCTCATCCCCAGTTTATAGTCTATTGATTACAATGCAGCACTTGATTTACTTAGAAAAACTTGAAACAAATCACAGACAACTACAATTCCTAGTAAGTACTTGTGTACTATCCAATTATGTTAATATTTAGCTAAACACATAACATGGAGAATTGGAGTCATGTCTGAAATGCACCATTATGTGCCTTAACTAATGAAACTGGCTCAATCACCAAGCATGTTTTCCCTCTGTGGCAGCAGACAATCACTTGATCCTGCAGTGGAGTACAAAATGAACCATCAAAGAAGAGGACTTGCATTGATCTTCAATCACGAGCACTTTTTTTGGCACTTAAGGCTGAACGACAGACGTGGGACTATGGCAGACAGAAACAATCTGCAACGCAGGTAAGAAACTTGGTTGCTCTACTAACCCTTAAAAAAATCTGAACTTTAGAAATTGTGGTCAAATTAAGGAGTTACCAAAATCTTGTGTTTAAGTAGAGACCAGAACATTTTGCAGACGTAGCACCTATGCAACTTGAGTGAAGAAAGCCATAATTAAAAAGCTTCAAGGCACATTTTTTTTTTTAGGTCACAGAAACTGCTGGCACAAGTCCTGTGAGTTCAGTGAGTCTAGAGCTTTCTTTGGACAAACTCTTTGAAGTAACTTTAGGTGGTAGACCTGTACTTGACAACAGTTTGAATTCAAATTCACTTCAGTAGTTTCCTTCGTAAATAATGCACAAGAATATTAATTCCCCCACAGGGAAAGAAACTGAGTTGGTAGCAATTGATATATAATTTGAGCAAAATCTTTACTAACACTGATCTGTTCTAATAACAGTTTGACAGACCTTGGGTTTGAAGTCAGACTTTTTGATGACCTGAAAGTAGAAGATGTGCAGCAGAGAATTTATGAAGGTAAGACTGTGTATTGGTTATATCTATTGCAGCAGAATTCCCAGATACCTTTTCTTCCAACCTCTCCATTCATCTTACTTAAAATAAATTTTTGTGCACAAGCAATTTAACATTAGAAGGACTTAAAGGTGAGACTGAAAATTATTTTACTGCAATGTAAGTGAAGCTTCAGTGGAGAGAACTAGTTAAATCTCTAAAAGCTGAAAGATGGTACATGCAGCTGGGAGAAGAGAATTACATTCTTTTTATGGTTAGGGCCCCTTCAGCCAGGTTGAATCAATGCACCTTGAAATCCCTACAAAATGGCTTTTCCTGAAAATAGCATCCATTTGAAAAAGGACTGACTGGGGATTTGATGATATGATACAAATGTGCAATGTTTTTTAGACCTGAATATGACCTGGATATGACTGTTTTGTCATTTAAACACCACTCGACTATTTCAGCCTCTAAGGAGGACCACAGCAATGCTGACTGCTTTGTGTGTGTGTTCCTGAGCCACGGTGAGGATGGTCACATTTATGCATATGATGACAAAATCAAAATTCAGACAATCACAGACATGTTCAGAGGAGACAAGTGCCAGAGTTTGGTAGGAAAACCAAAGATATTTATCATTCAGGTAAGATGTCTGTTTCTGAATTCAGTGAAGTTAACACTGACTTGTGTCTTCCTGCAATACAGATGTCAGTTTTCCTGATGCAGTCTTTCCACAAGGCATTTAAGACTAGGATTCTTCTCTTTTTATTAGAAACCCTATTGTATACTACTGTTAATATTATTATTACAGCTGTATTTAATAAGTAATTTTACAAAAAGAAACACAAATTAAACCCATGTCAGATCGACTGTCAGTGTGTATTTAATAGCAGAGAAGGCAGTACCAGGGTTTTTTGCAGCCCGAGCTCAGTTTCTATGGGTCACACTTCACGGCCCAAGGCTAAGCTGATAAGCTATCTAACCATTTTATCTTCATTGCTTCCTTCCAGGCAAGTCCTTTTACGTGATCCTGAGTGAAGCTGGGTTTTGTGTTTGGGTTTTTTGACTGCTTTCTTTTTTTTGTGGGACTTTTTGGTTGGTTGATTTTTGTGGTGGTAGTGATTTTCATTTGTTGTTGGTTGGTTTTTGTTTTTTTTGTCTATGACTTATACTTGGCATCTCTGTAGAATCCAAAGAATCAAATTAAGGTTTTATTGTCTCAGGAATACTGCTTTTGCTCAGTGGTCAGATGAAGACCATATATAACCTCCTGTTGCTTTCCTTGGTTCACAGGAGAATGAAAGTTGGGACCTCAGGAGGTCTCTGGTCCAGCCTCCTGTTCAAAGCAGAGTTATGGTGTCAAACTAGGTCACACAGGGCTTTATCCCATTATCCCATCTTTATCCAGATTACAATCAGGAAACTCATACATGAGCCTGGCCTTCAGCAGATTGTAATTGTAGTAGTTTACAGAGTAATTCTAAGTATTACCTTTTTTTCCCAAATTTCTTTATAAGGGTGCAGGGTTGCTGCAAGAAGCAGTATATTGTTAATTCACCTTTCATTAGGACTCATTCAGATTTCTTTTTTTTTCAACCTGGTTCCAAAGATGGAAAAATACTTTCATATTTCAATTTTAAGTTCTAAGTAATACTTGGAAACATTTATAATATATACTAATCAAAAAGCTAATTAACTTAGCTCATCAGCTGAGTTCTTTTCCAGCACAACTGGCATAGCAATTACCTCTGAAAATCAGAAGAAACATCAAGATGAAACTTTATCACTGTAAAGAAGAGTCTTTGTGTTTTTCTTTTTTTAGTGGTAGTTCTGAAGTAATGCTCCTTTTTATCTTTTGAGTGTGTTCTCACCTTGTTATCCTCCATCTGCACCACTGACAATAGTGGGATCACTACTGACTTCTCACAAAAAATCTTCCTCCTTCCCTCAACAAACACACTTGAGACTGCACTAAGAGCAGGAGTGTAACAGCATGTAATGATGGCTGTGCTTCAGAGCAGTAATTCAGCACTGCCTTGACAGCAAGGGAGGCAGTTCTTCCTCTCTACTCAGCAGTGGTGATGCTGCCTCTGAAGTATTGTGTCCAGTCTTGAGTTCCCCAGTTCAACAAAAATGCAGACTTACTGGAGTGAGTCCTGCAAAGGGCCACAGAGATGATTAAGGGACTCTGGGGCAAGTTTGATGTGAGGAGAGGCTGAGAGAGCTGGACTATTCAGCTTGGAGGAGATGGCTCAGGGGAATCTCTACCAATGTTCTGAACATCTGGTGGGAGGGAGTAAGAGGGAGACAGGCTCTTTTCACTGGTACCCAAGTGACAGGTTAAGAGGCAACTGGAACAAATTAAAACACACAAAATTTCATCTCAACACAAGAAAACATTTTTTTACTGTGAGGTTCTAACACTGGAAGAGGTCACCCATACTGACTGTGAAGTCTCCACCTATGAAGGTCCTCAAAAGCTGACAGGACATAGTCCTGGACAGCATGCTGTAGCTAACACTGCTTGAGTCAGGAGGTTGGACTAGATGATCTCAAGAGATCCCTTCCAGTCTTAGTGATTCTGAGATCATCTTCAAGCTTTCAATGGACTTTGTCCCCAGCATTTTAAGGGACAGAGAAATAAATGTGTCTTTCTGAGGGCAGAGCCATGGTAATGTGGCACACGTGGCTGAACAGAAGTGCCTCTGGTTAGTGTCAGAATTATCATATTAACAGTGAGCTCAGCAGGGGTGCAGACATAACAACACTTCTCACCAACAGGCCTGTCGAGGTGATAAACATGATGATGCAGTCATTGCTCACGATGCAACAGACAACAGCAGTGAATCCCCTGTCAATGAGACTGAAGTGGATGCAGCTGGTGTCTACACTCTGCCTGCTGGTGCAGACTTTATCATGTGCTACTCTGTGGCAGAAGGTGAGTTCTGGTATTTTACATCCATCGTCTGTTACTTCACTGTAACAGCCCTGAACATGTCTTCATTTTGCAGTCCAAAAAATGAGAACAGTTCCATGTAAATCTGATTTACATGTCTGATAAGTAGCAACTTGTCTGGGAAAGAATGTTACGTGCTAAAGAAGAAGTGAAAGTAAATTATCAAGGTGCACTAAATTTGCCAAACAAAAACATTGTCATCAATCTTGCAGCTGAGCTGCCTCCTGACAGCCAACATCCATCTCATCCAGGATTCTGCTGGCTTATAAATTTCCCTGCACTACATGGCTGTTCTCTCCAGTCCCACCATGTGTGTTGTCCTCAATCCCATCTGCTCTCTTATGAAGTAGAGATGCAGTCCTGTAAGCTACCAATCCCTGAATTGTGTTCCTCTTAGCTGAGCACCACAAGTGGTACCAAAGCCATTTCCCATCTACAATTTGCATTGTAATTGGCAAAGTAAGATTTACACCCATTAGTAATTCCTTACAGATGGTAGCTAGCAAACAGTGACTCCCATAAATATTTTTCCGAGAGGTTACCACTACTTACATTTGGATGTAATTTTATGCTTTTTTTCTACTCTAGGCTACTATTCTCATCGTGAAACTCTGAATGGCTCCTGGTACATCCAAGATTTGTGTGAGACCCTTAGGAAGCATGGATCTTCCTTGGAGTTCACAGAACTTCTTACTGTTGTTAACAGGAAAGTATCGTATCGCAGAGTACATATGTGCAAAGACATCAATGCTATAGGGAAAAAACAGATTCCTTGTTTTGCCTCAATGTTAACTAAAAAATTGTATTTTCATCCAAAATCTAAGTAGATTATTTAGCAGAGCTAAATTACTCTTTACCACTACTATTACCTGCTGCAGAGCAAAGAATACCATCTTAGTTGAGGAGACGTAATATTCTGCAAGACTGTCTGCAGCATCACTGGGATCAGACGTTACAGTTTGTACATCTAATAGTTTCTAAAATCTTGAAGCAGTTTTAAAGTTAGAATTACACCAGGGAATTAATCTCAGGGAATATGGGAGAAGTTGACTGGTGCCAAAGTCTTAGAAGGTGCTCAGGTTTTATGGAAACTGATGATCCAGACTACTTTTTTCTTAAAAGCTTCTTGCTTGATTGCCATCTAATTATGGCACATTTTACTATTTCCAAAACATTTCTCATATTCTATTAGATTAACTTGTCTTGCTCCTAGAGCACAGTTTACAGGGAATATGGTCTATAAGACATCTTTTTAAATTTGCAGACAGCAGAATCCACAACTTTTGTAGCTTTTTTGGGCTTTTTAGGCATTTTTAATTTTCTTGCAACACTAAAAAGGAACTTAATTCCTTGAATACAACTATAGCATTAATACAGAATTAATCAAATAGGGTTGATTAATAAAGGGTTTCCTTTTACTTGAATATAATTGATGCTTGGGGTACAATTACAGTTTGCTGGTGCTTTGCATCCTCAGGAGATAAACAGCAGTACTGAGACAAGACCATGCACAGTTTGCTCAGGGTGATCTTGCCTTGTCTGTATCTCTAAAGCTAAAGCTGCTGGCCATCTCTAGGCAGCTCTACAAAATATAACATATGCAAACCTTCAGGCTTCAGGCCTTTGAGTTGCATCAGGCCTCCTCTTGGCCATGGAGAAGATCAGCCATACCTCTGGCATTGTGTACATAAAAGTGATGGTGCATGGTCACCACAGGATTGTTACTGCTGCAAGTAATTGTGGTGCTGACTTGAACCAGATAATATATTTTTTTTTAGCATTATTAATTGTTCCTCTGGGGGTCAACAGAGAACTCAAACTGAGCAAAGTGTCTTAATCCACTTTCCTGGGGAAAAAATAATTGGTTTACTGGTTCTGCTTTAGTTAAGTCTTTCTGTGTACAATGTTCTGAGTCATCGATGCTGTATCTTACTACACCTTCTTTTAAACAGGTGTATAATCATGTATGCTTGAATGTTTTGATAAATTCTTTTAATAAAATGCAACAGTGAAACAGAAATGATTTTATAGCAAGTTTGAGATACCTTACTTTTCCAGCACTATTTACTAAGAAAGCTTAACTGTCACGCTAATCTAAACTTCACCTATGGTGTCACAAAGAGTCAATGCATAGACCAGGGAAAAGGAAAGCATAATTTCAGGAAAAGAATCTTTAATACTTCATGCAGAAATTATTATCCTATGACTACTGTTATGTTATAGTAAATGGTACTAAAAAGGCTGTCCTTGTTCTGTCATTTTACCAGCAGTAAGAATTACCAGCCTCCATTGTACTAGTGAGATTTGACAAATATTTAGAAGAACTTTGCTTTAGCAGTTTCTTCATAGAAGAAAGAAAAAAAAACCCAAACAAACCCAAACCAAAGTAACCAAAGTAACATCAAGTAAGCAAATAATTTTTAAAGCTATTTATTGCAACTTTTAAAACTTCAGTGGTCAAAAATACCCAGGTGTTATGGAGTAACTAAATGTTCATATCAGCTTTGAAAGGGCATCTCCAAAATACACAAAACCAAAGTCAGTCCTTGTCGTTGATTTCCTGGATGGGAAGCCTCAGGTGCAGAGGTTGGCGCAGACGCCTTAGAGATTCTTCTGCCTGCCAGTGACAGAGAGAGGGAGAGTTCATTGTTTTGCAGCCTCTGTTTTCTCCTCTTTCACACATGCACTGTCTTTCTTTTCTCAGAAGGCACTGGTCTTAGGCAAGGAACCACACCAATGACAGACCTGCTCAACTCATGCAGTCTCCAGAGAGAACATGAACACTGCACATCAACCCACTCACCCACACCTCAAAGGATTATTTTCCTGAAATGACACTTTAAAAATCCATACCCCCAGGCCACTGAAAAAGCATCAAACTCTAACATTACATCAATTATGGCACATGAAATTACATCCTGAACTATGGGGTTTGAGCTAAAATTAGAGGTAGTTTCCATTTTCTTTTATGAGACACTGAACACAGGGCTGACAAGATGGGATGGAGGAGTGACAACTGAGGAGTGAGAGATCTGCTACAGCTATTTCATAAAGGCCACCAAATTTCTTCTAGGTGTACATACCACCTTTTCCATCCAGTCACACATAGTCTGTAAATCTAAGTCTTTTACAAATGGAATAAAGCTATGATGTTAAATGCTGAACACCTTGCATGGCAATCTGCTTCCAAGGAAGGGAGGAGATTGGTTTAGCACAACAGTGCAGCAAACATACTGTTCCCAAAATAAATGCAGCTATTGTATCAAATGGCCAAAAATGCAACGTTAATTAGAGTATGCAAAAAACAGATGTCATGCTGATAAACTGACTTGTTTTAAATTAAATTCATGGAGGTCTCCCCTTCTGATGACCTACAGAAGTAGTTTATACATCAAAGGCAAACATTGTATGATTATCTGAACAGCCGAAACTGGATGATAAGCAATGCAGAGTTTTGATAGCAAGCCTCAAAGGTCAATTTTCTGTTAGCTGAGAGTTTACTGGAAATGTCTTAAGCCAAAAGCTGCATCATAATTGCAGGACTGCACTTTAATACCTCTGCTAGGTCGTCTTTGAGCTTGTTGTATCGTTCCACATTAAAACGCTGCTTTTTGGATTTGCGGTAGAAGTAGTGGAGGAACTGCCTGTCCTTAGCGTGAGGATAAATGTAGTCCTGCGGAAGGAAGGAGGACATGGATTTGTGGTTAGCAGGTCAGCAGATTGAAAACTCAGCCTGTTTCAGGAAGACTTACCTTGCCCAGCACCTATGTGTGTTTTGTAAAGAGGCTACCTATGAAATTCTGCTCTTATGGGGGCCATAAGGGGCTTTTTAAATACGTAGTAGGAGTGATTTCTATCATGCCTGAAGGGATTTTCAGTTATAATAAAGACACAGTGTGATCTTCTTGACTGGAGCCACCTCAGCCAACGGAGTGTACTTCCAAGGAGTCAGAGAAAATTCAGGAACTACTTCTTGAGGACTTATTTGAAAGTCTTAAGCAATGGCACAGGTAGCTGTTCAAAAAAGCCAAGCAGTAATCTCTTTATCTACTCACAAGAAGTAGGAATGGTTTAGCCCCTCTTAAAAACCAGTCAGAAGGAGTAAAACCCACATTCTGAGCCAGCTCTTCATAAAAACAGATTTCCCCTTTCCACTCAAGGAATCTTAATTTCCCACATCGTCCACTGGAATATGGAGAAAGTACAGTTACTCTTCCACATACTTCCACAACAAAAAGAGTTTTGCATCATAGAAAGTTCAGCATCAAGATGTCCACTTTGAGAGTAAAGAACAGAGCTAAAACAGGAAAAAGAAACATTTCTCAAAGTCTTAAGAGGATTTCGGAACAAGGCTGTATTGTGGAGCTAAGTTAAGATCTGAGCAAACCTTTTGCTTCTACACAATGCCTGCCTCATTTCAGCTGTCCTAGATTTACCTCCATTCATTCTAAATAATGGAAAAGCAGTCAGATTATGAAGAGTGGAGCAACAGTACTTCTTCAGGCATTAAATATATTTCAGTATATTTCAGTAATGCAACTGCCAGAGTTCCAAACAGTTTGGTACCCTGCACTGTATATACACAAACTCCAGCAAATAAAATCTACTGTTGGGGTGATTTGCTGATGTAAGGCAGCATTCACAAACTGGCACAGCACTACCAGTTGCTCTTCCATTACTGCAGTGAGCAAGGTGCCATTTGTATGCAAAGTGATCCACAAACATTTTAAAGGAGAAACTTCTTTCCTCACCTTTCATTCCCTAGGTTATGAAATCTTGCGACAGTAGTTATGCTCAGTAGCTGGCCTGCAGTTCATGTGCAGCAGTACCTGCTTGATTCTGCATGATGTAGTGTTTGTACCCAGCTGCATTAGGGATCAAACAAGTCCTTCTCTGATGGCAAGGCCACTTACTGAATTCTGTTTTCATCAGAGCTCAAACATTGTGATTCACAGACTCAGTTTTGTTCCTTTTCAGTATTCCATACATTTAGAAGACAAGGACTCACTCACCTGCTTGGTAAGAACGAAGTAGGCGTAGAAAGCCATGGCGCTCCCGTAGGTGATGAAGTACGTGACTGGCTCCATGATGTCCCACGAGTAGACCCACCACGTGAGCCATGCCAGCGCTCCCCCCTGAGTTGACATCAGGGCTAGGCCAACCCATAAAAGCCTGGAGGTTTTTGCATCTGCACTGTCCATGATTCTGGTTTTCATCTGAAGAAAAGAAATGCAGAAACCTGTTCAAATAAACATGAGTGCTCCTCTGATGAACAGCTCCTCAGCTATGCTTTCTCGCCCTGCGCTAGATCCTTTCTCCATAACTCTTACCAACACCTCTTACTGACTATCCCTGCTGAGAACAAAAAAAACACTGAAGTCCAAGGGCAACCAGATCTTCTTGCCATTGTGCACCACAAATTCCTGCTGTTAATCTCCCCTTTGCTCTACTAGGGACCTATGTTTGATTTCCATTTACCATTCAAGGCAGTGCTGGGTAACACTGAGGCTGGCCCTCATAAAGCAGGAACCCTGTTGTCCACTACCCTAAGCCATGGATGGTAACCCTACTACTGTGGTGTTTTGCTGTCATGGGTATTCAGAACTCATAAAGCAACATGTGACTTTCAATGAAATTTAACAAATGGCCTTTCAATCTCAGTACTAGCTATGTTCATGACAGCTTTCTCCAGGCATTGTGGTTTCTACCCCATTAAGGTCCACAACAGGAAGAAAAATAACTGAATTGAAAATAATTTACATTCTACCTGAGTTGACCTCATTTACATAACAAACATAACAGACAGAACAGACACACCCTAGCTATTCATCTTCTTCTGTCACAGGACTTACTTCTGATGAAAGGAAAAGCTTTTGAGTTTTAAAAAAAGTACCCCCACTTTCCAACCTGTTCAAGAGGAAGCAGCTCTCCTTTCAGATGGTCCAATTTCTGTAGCAATTCTCTCTCTTTCCTGATCTGGTGGTCTTCTAAATGTAGAGCCACAAACAGTCTGTGAACCAAGGATTTGATATCTTCCATTTCAGTAGCATGCTCACTGCTCAGCTTATCTGAAAAGAATATGTTTGTCATATATACCATTTCAAGAATACACCCTTCTTCATTCTCTCCCCTCCTCCAACCCCAAAGGCAGGACTACCTGAAGCTAAAAAGACAAAGCCAAAGAGAAACACCTTTCTCCCAGGTCCCTGTTTTCTGAGACTTCCCATGCCTTTCACTAAATGAAGTGAGATGATCAGTTATTAAGGATTGCTCTTACCTTTTACAGGAGGTGACACACTGTACTCTGTGTTGTTGATAACAAGCTTAAAGTCATTCATCAATAAGATCTCCATTAAGGTTGCATCAGAGACCTTGGTACCATCTGCAGAAGAAAGATTTCAGTTCTAGTTCACTTATCATGAGGAGTTTTAAACATTAGCAGATAACCCTGTAGAAAACTGCTGGGGTTCTTCACTAATAATGTTTGGAAGCAACTCGAGTTTTAGAGCTGGCAGATAATACTAAACAATCAGGAGGAACACAGGGTGCGATTCTTGGGGCTGTCCTGTGCAGGGAAAGGAGTTGAACTTTGATCCCCTGGAAAACCCTTTTCTACTTTTTTTTTTTTTTTTTTTTTTTTTTTTTTTTTTTTTAAATGCAGATTGACATGAATGATACCCCACAAATTTTACATGCAACTTTACAGCTCCTACCAAAAAGGAACCCTGGATTAATCAGCAGGAACATGTAACAGTGGCTGCCAGGAGCACACTGGGGCTCAGATGGCCCAAGAGCCCCCAGAGCCACACACCACTGCTCTGGGCACATCACTGTGGAACAAGGGTCTGAAAAGCCATGGAGCAGCTGCCCCACAGTGGCTATTAGAGATGATTCTCATTTTCTGTACACAAAAAGGGCACCCTCCCCTTGCCAAAGGCTAGGCAGCTTTACTCCCAAGATGAATAACCAAACAGGCTACAAAATACCAAGAGTTTT